TTTTTTTTGCTTTTTTTAGGATCCGGAAACCATCCACTAGATTATATGTTAGAAATTGTAGCTTATGAAGCACGGCGCTTATTTCGTGACAAAATTGCTGGTGCAAAGGAACTTCATGTATTTGACAACATTTTAACATCAGTGTTTCAAGGAGATTGGGGCTCAGATATATTAGATAATATGGCAGGTAATAATAGAGTTTATATAAATATATAATTGTTATGAGAACTTTAAAGTTATTTTTCTTACCTGTAGCATGACTTCATATGTCTAAACAAATAAAAACTTTGGATATTTTTAATGCTATTTTTTCCATAAGGGGCTGCTCAGGCTTTTTTGCTAGATTTTGGTAATTATGTTCCAAACAAAATATAATGACAATAATTGTTTTCTCGGCAAAAAGGGGTTGAGGCCATACTGTTTTATATTTGCAATGCAGTTATTTTTCCTAAGGAGTTTCACTAATAAAGGTTTTTTTTTTAAACAGCTATATATATATATATATGAAACATATATACATGAAACATATATATACATGAAACATATATACATATGAAACATATATATATATATTAAACATATATATGAAACATATATGTATATGAAACTTAAGGATCATTGAGAACATCCATGTTTGATTATAAAGACCTTTTTTCTTAAGAGTAATGGCCATTCTTATTCCTGTCACTACCTATAATGTCATTAACGCAGAACTTCTCACATATTCTTGTTACCAGCTTCATCCATTGTTATGGTAAACAAAGCATAACACCATTCAGTCAAAGCAGCTGTGTTATATTTGCAACTATTACTGCTTAGTAATCAATTTGCACTTTGAAAACTGCTGTGGGTGTAATGCATGTCTTACGAAAATCATCATGGTGAGAAGGCCTTTGATAGAAATTTTCTAATAAAACTTCTTCCCAGCTACAAAGATGTTTATTCTTTCAGAGTATAAAGTGAGGCTTCAAAAATATTTCATATATAATACATTCTACATATTGTATATTTCTAGATTTGATATTGGTCTCAGGGCCATAATTACATAAGCCAAAGGGAATCTTGAAGGTGGGGTAGGAAGGATGTTGAGATTGACAGAAGGAATTTTCTATGTGCTGCTTGATTTTTGGAATCAGGAAATGAGTTCAGGAGTACCTGAGGCAGGATGAAATGCTGATAATAGTTCAGAGCTGGCTTAATTTTGAGTGAGGGTTTATGTTATTGTGGTCTGTAGCTTTCATGGCTTAGTGAAGAAAGACTTTGGTTCAAATGATGCCATCTTTCTCAGTCTGAAAATTGTCAGTAGTGTCTCTTCTTGCAGAGAGTAGCATATCCTTTAGATAGTAGATAGCATCTGCACCTTATTGGGTGTCTGAGTTTTCTAAAGTTTGGTGGTATCTTTCAGATCACCCTATGTAAAATTCATTAAATAATATATGCCTTTTTTTTTTTGGTATTTTATTCTTTTTTTTTTTTTTGTCTTTTGTCTTTTTCCGTGTCCGGCAACGGATCGCAACC